GGGTTAGGAGTCAACACTAGTACACTACCGTACCAATATTTAGTCGGCACGGCTATTCGTGGAAAAACAGTCCAGCTCAAAATATATAGTCTGAAACAAATCGAAGCATCAAATGTGACACAGATTGAATTTAATGCCAATCTTAAGCATTAGTGATAATTCCATGTATGCAAAAATTTAAATCAAGACATTATACAATAACGTGCATGTCAAACTTGCAGCTTCTGAGTTAGAAGTACAGCCAAGCCTTCTTAACGATGTTCCACACTTCCACGTTCCACTACTTACACTGTTACACAAGACATTCCGGTTCTTCCATCAATTAAAATTGTACCTGCGTATTTAGTTTAAACCCAGTCTGGAGCTACTCATTTTTTCAGAGGTATTGAGGATTATTCTACAGGTACTGAGGGGTAGAATAATTGCCCGCAGAGTGCTCACCTTACAAGATGTGGGAAGACTGCATTGAGTACTGCAGTATCTCAGTGGGGTCACTGAGAATCTCTGAACTGTTTGGCACTTCTTCAGTTCCTACTTTGATCGTATATCAGTTAGTTTACCACTGCTACCTCACTGCCTTCAAATAAATCGCGTACTATTCTTGGACAATCTGCCAACAAACAGTTCTGTTCGATCAGTAGAAGTCAGCTGGACCGAAGGAGCGGTGCACATCCGTACGCTAAGACACCGCAACACTTACTGAACGATGACCCTACTCAACCCTAGTTTGGCTATGAGCGAGCAACCAGCTTGGCAGGTTACCTCGCGGGGTGAACATTTCTGCCATTCAACTCCCCGATAAAACAATGCCTGCTTCTACTATTCCATGGAAAATATATGCATAATTTGATGTGTTACTATCAATTTCAATTAAATGTCACAGGTAAAAGACATCACTTAATCAAGGGGCATGGAATGCGAGTAAAAATGTTAAATTATGTCTTAGTATTAAATACGTTCAGATACTTCCTCTATCCTGTAATCGTTCACCGATTGCGGTGGCACTTGAACTGCTGATCGACTATAGTTACGGCGTCCAGCACGATTTTTCCTTTCCGTAGTATTTATTTATCTCCGTAGCCTTTACTTCAGGCAAATCCAAGCGCCAACAGTTGTTCTAGCTTGACACGAGTTATGTCCAGCTGCACGTAAGGAGTCTCTTGAGAAAATACAAGAATTGTTTTGTACAGTGTCGGCAAAACTCCGGTGCTATTTCAACAATTGGTCGAAATAATTACTTTAAAACTCAATAACAACCTGGTTCTTCTCAGCGGAATATCAGTTCTACATTTCCATGTCTAAATTTGAAGGTATAAAAATTTATTGCCTTACTTTTATCCATTCATAGCAATGAGGAAATTGAAGAAAAATCTTTTTAATTTTTCCCATTTATTTTCGAAAAAGAACTTGGTACAAAATTACATTGACAACCAATAACACAGCTAACCCATGTACGTTCGAAAATGTAATCCATAACTCACCAAAAGAATTATTCCTTGCTAAATAAATATCAAGTTACCATGAGTAGTAAGAAGAGTAATGGCACGTAAATGCACCACACATACTACAAAGAAATAGATGAAACTCGCGTTAATAAGCGTCATGTTGAAGGGAGGAAAGCCGTAGTGATGACGTACTAACACGACAGATCCTCAGGCTATGACTACAAATAATTACAACGTAAAATACAAAAAAAATAAATAAACGAAAAAAACTCGAATTGACTTATAATGAAAATATAAGGGACCAGATAATAATTGTACGAACTTTCAAATATGTACACGACCCACAAGATGAGGCGAGGAAGAAACGTAACCAGTCCTATCGACGAGAAGCTTTATCAATCTTCACAGCCCGGGACTAGCAGTTGGTACAATTGACGTGCTAACCCTTCCATCACCTCAGGATCACATTGCAATAATACTGATGCAGTGGCACCTTACTCAACACAAAGATAGAATATGAGTATTATATTTAATGGTGCTGGTCGCAGACTAGAGGCCTTTAAGACCCGTATCATCCTGCTAGTGTTTAAGCACATGTTAAATAGCGACACTTCGCAGCAACTCTAACAAAACGGAAGTAACGCAGCCGATCCCATTGAAACACTACCTTAAGAGAAAGAAATTGTAGTGAAAAAGTGCTCCAATTAGGAAAATGAATTTGGGAATCGAAAAATGAAAGATTCAACTTCAAGCTTTCGAAACATCAAAGTTGGTCCAAGCTGTCTTGCATTCGAAGTTCCGATAATTTGCTAGTCACATTCAGCGAGTTCAGCAAGAAAAACTCGGCATCTTGGCGTCCATGGCACAGGTTATATACAAATGGTCTAGTCCCCGAACTAGAAGCGCATTTTCAAAATTACCTCCCACACTTCAGCCGCGATTCAAGCATTGGACAATAAAATTAATCTACTTATTGCATACGAGATCCGGACAATATTTACACATCATAATGGGAAATCCGCAGAAATACGATAACTACATATTGTTTAGTTATTCTGACCAAAATATGTTCCTAAACGGTTTGAAAAATTCGCAATACTAACGTCTCTGAAAAATTATTTTTAATTTCCGACAGGATCAGTTATCCTACGAACTGACGGTTATAAATTCTTTAAGGATTTACAAAGATGTTAGTACTGACTTGTTCGGTCATAAAAATAAGCAAGTGGGAGCAACAGAAGCAATTAAAGCTAAATCATAATCAAATCGGAAAGGATTCAAGAAAATAAAGACCATCGACATACAATGGTAGCTCGTACATCTCCTATGAGGACAGTGATTTAACCAACTGAGACTATTTTCAACAGGAAAGATGCTAAAAAGTCAAATGTCGGAGCCGTGAATTGCGCAATTAGCAATCGTTAAGTTGCCCACAGGTATCAGGTACCCAGAGTTCGTTTAAAGACATTAACTCGAGCCATGCTGGAAGCGCCGCCTTTATGAATGCGACCAAGCGTCTTCCACCAGGGACACCGAGAAATGAACTGAGCTTCCCAAGGTTCGAACCCACGACTAGCTCCTCGTATATCGGTACTGAAATCACTGCACAAATAGCGGCACTAACCACTGCACTGCAGTCACACTTGGTCTGCTATGGAATCAATAAATTAAATAACAAATTTAAAGCACTTTCAGGAAAAAAATCCCATTTCGTATCAAGATGCAACTTATCGTAGCGTTTAATTACTAACCAAAACGAGAAAAATTAACTTGCATTGCACCAAAAAACACTTGTGTCATAGAGGTACATGAAATGCGTACTATTACTAAATAAAAGTTCGGCAACATCAATACTTTCATTTCTGAAAGCAATTAATCAAGATGACAAATTGAGACGTTACAAGGAAAAATGGTAAGGATGTAGTTGCAGATAAATTTTGTTGCTTTATTAGACTAATGAATGAATCAGACATCGTAGAACAAAGGTGCCGGTCATCATAAACTAATTATATAATAAAATGAATATTCCTCTGACATAGTTAAGCCCTTCAGATTCTACAGAAAACTATCTAAAACTAAATAAAAAAAAATCCTCTTCAACACTTAGAAAAAAATAAAGACGAAATAAAACATCCTCGGCGCCTTTACAGACGCAATACTAATGAAAACTAATCGTCCAAATTCTGGAAGGATGACTGAACAATCCATCCAACAAGGAATCAAAGCAATAAGTTGAGGTTAGTATGAAATTGGCAACTCGCAAAGTTATTACACAACAACAAAAACGCAACACAGGCTAACATCTAAATCAAAAGTAAGGAACACTAAAAGTACCTTGTGCGAAAGTATCAAACGCTTCTGATTTATTCAATAAATGCGCAATACCTCAACTACGAGGCGTAAAAGCCACCAGAAAAAAGATCATCTTCACAGTTAGACGGCTACTGGGGATTCAAACCTACAAAAAACGTACACGCATATGCACTTTCTTCAGCCGAGGATCTTCTAATGCCTTCATAGAGACAAAGCTTGGAATGAGATTGAACTTGTGATGCAAATTAGTGTACAGAGAAATCAAGAAACCACCATGTGAATGAATCTTATAAGGTTTTCAAAGAAATGCGAAACTCAACACACAAATTTATGCGAAATTGTAAGTAAGAAATTCTATTTAGTCCTGATCAACAAAGAGAAGAGGCATTACAAAATATTCGGGTACTTTTAATTCAGGAATTATCGTGATAGTTATTTATCAGGACGCGTACGTAATCATTGCACAGCGAAGCAGTGAGATGGTGGCTGAGAAACACTCCAGGGAAAATTCGTCACGCTAAACAACAACTATCACGAGATGGCGCTTGTGCCGCTACGCTTGCCACCTCCTAGGAAAGCCCTAAGCAAATATCACAAAATTGTTAACTTAGGCATGTGGTAATTGCAGCACGCGATATCTCAAGACAACTTCACTAATACTAATGGAAACTCTATCAAGAAACTTAGCTTCAAACTTATCATGACTTGAATGCGATGTCGCGTCAAAACTTGATGGGAATCCCATCCTAGTGTCAGCTGTTAAGCTCCCTAACAATACTTAACGAAATGAAACTAGGAGCAAAAAAAAATAAATAAGCCAGCCAATCATCGAAGGAAGTTTCTCGGCACCAAAGAAAAAATTAAAGAATGGCCAACAGAACCAGAGAAATAGCATAGAAAGGAAATGCTCTAATGCCATTTCTCTTGATTCACTGTACAATAGCTTTACTTCAAAAAAAAATCGACTTTAAAAATAACTAATTCGAAAAGTCATCCGAAGAATAAAATCTTCACGAAGGATAATTAACATATATACGTACCGTGAATGCAATAGGTGAAAAAAACATTCAGGTAAACTAGGGCACCGTGAAACAATCCGAACCATTTGTGATTGCCACTGAATCGTTATATTCTTCGAAACAAACGATTGCTATAAGTTATTAAAACGAATTCATGGCGATTGAATAAAGAAGCAAAGCTAAATTATTGGTACACAACTAACAAGAAGAAAGACTAATGTTAGTGTTCGCTAGCATTTGATTTGAAAAATAATCACGTGGACAGGAGTAAGTTGATCTAATGGTAACTACAACCTAAGGAATGGACTATAAGCAAAGACCAAGGGATAATCTTTCCTAGGAGCGCTTGGAGGCAAGTACAGCGGCGTACGACATGGGAGAATGGGGCTCCCCATCGCAACTCGAATTACTAATTCCACTCAGGGCTTCCATACTGTAATTACTGCGACTGGAACGCTTGGAAGCGTCTTGACCTTTTCTTGCCTTAGCGTTACAAGCACCACTAACAAGAACAGGATTCGACTTAGGTGTTCTATTAGTAGGCTTGTCACCACATGCAGAGGACGCACCAAGGCCCAACGAGGGTTTATCAACGGAGGAAACGCTCGCAGATTTCATAGCGGAGGGAGAACCCGACATCGAGGCAGCACGTGATATGCCACTGAAACTGGCAGATCTCCCACTTGGGACGATCGGTTCAACGAAAGCCATTGATTTGCCTCTTCCAGTGTTTTCCACACTTGCACATGTGTCTGTAGAGGTTGACGCAGCGGATGCTGTAGCGGACAAACACGGTGTTTGGGTTGAATTTCTCTCTATTCTATCGAGTGCTTCTCCAGAAATGACAACAGTATCATCTTCAGGATAGCAGCTATTGGAGAGTTGCTCCGATCCATCCACCACATTATCGCCGCCAGCACCAGCAGGGTCAGCGAGTGTAGACGTGTTGCTCGAGTGCGAGACGTCGCTAGTAGACAGTGTGCCCGAAGTAGTATTAGTAATGAGAGCCTTAGCGGCGCTCACAGCGTACGTTATTGTAGAGGTGAGTTCGTTCGAACTCACACAAAAGTCTCCCTGTTCATAAGGCTTCTTGATCCACGTCCCACAGCCGGCTTGCTTGAAGCCCTGAACCATGATGCGCTTGCTCTCCTGCACACACAAAATAACATCACAAAGTTGAAATTATAATTTAACAGTACGTTCCATTCAAGATGTCAATTTTTGATTAAAGATTAGTTTAAATTTGAAATATTCGTTTAAAAGAATTGACACCAATTACTTTGCTTCAAGTCAGAAATGACTTTAAAAATATTGGAATTCCTGTGAAATCACTATGACTGCTACTGTGAAAAGTTGGCACATTTTATCCAGCAGCAACTACTTATTGACGTGCTACATCTAAATCAAAAGACTTTCAATCAAACTTACCTGATATTTTTCAGCCTTAGCTTTGATGCCATCATAGGGAGACTCAGTGGCCTCCGAGAAGGTAAGGCCTGAGCCTGGAGGCATCCTCTGCACGAGCTTTAGGAACCTCTTCAGGAGGCTACGCTTGCACAGCCGGGAAGTCTGTTCCCCTTCCTGCTTGCCCGTCATGGCGTTCAGGATTTCAACGTTGTCGGTTACTGCACGAGGAAATTGCGATTATATTGTTGCACTTCATTTATGCATTCCTTATGAAAAAAATTTCAACATTAACTCGAACAAAGGACTTGTAATACCGAATCAGTGTAAACGAAGAAAAAAATATAATGGATGTGCTCGAGAAATACTTCAAATATGCATGGAAATTAAATGCATAATAGAAAAATCTTGATGGGAGCAGGAAAGTGACTAACCGCAATCCCAGTTAAGAGAGAGCGACGGCGCTTTCTGAGGCTGTCTGCTCTCAACGCTGCTTCCTTGGTTCATCTTGGGCTTGTGCATCTTGAATGGCTCGGGTAGCCCCTCCAGACTGTTATCAATGCGTCCGCATAACGCTCTGAAAAACGCGGTTAAGTAATCAATACAACTACTGCAATAAAAACGCTCTGAAAAACGTGGTCATATAATCAATAAAACTAATGCAATAAAAACGCTCTGAAAAACGTGATCATATAACAATAGAACTACTGCAATAAAAACGCACTGAAAAACGTGGTTATATAATCAATAGAACTAATGCAATAAAAACGCTCTGAAAAACGTGGTCATATAATCAATAGAACTACTGCGATGTATGTTCAATCTATTACAATACTTTAGTAAGCCTCTGAAAAGTTGGCAAAGCAACGCGCATTGGGCGCTGTCGCATATGATCTTGAATTTATGTTCATGATATTTTTTTCGTCGAAAATACCACTGTAGGGAGATCTACTAAATCCTTACTACTCCTTACTACTACTAAACCTACATCTACTTTGTTTACCGGTTTACCCCCTTCTTTTCTATTCGGTCTGAGTCGGCATTAGAGAGCTTTATGCTTCACATGCAACTTCACTATTACCTGCCTGCTAAGTAAAAGTACGACGCACTGCAGTTTCATCATCTCTGCCTTCTCCAAAGTCTATGAAACCGAACCACTATTCACAACTCGGTTGTTTACAATGTGTAGAAAGTTAACAGCTGCCAGATGCATCAAGTGGGTGTGCACAATGTGTAGAAACTTTTCACAGCTGCCAGATGCATAAAAAGTGACCTAAGAGAAGGTGAAATATATCATTGACGACTTAAACGCGGGATATAAGCAAGAATAGAACTGTTACAAACATGTGTAAATTAGGAAGATTTCTGCTATAATGTTTTTTCTATGTCATCAAATAAGTGCAGGATGCCGAATCGTCATTGATTGCGAAATAGATTGGCAGATAACAATCGCAACGTAAATGGCAATAGAGCAATAATAATAAATTAAAGAAAAAGGAATGATTATTCTTTTTCTAAGCCAAAATAAAGGTAAATGCCAGCAGGTTTGTACCTTGATAGGTATGGTGCCTTCGCCGGACTCTATCTTGGTCCTGAGGAGACCTCGACACTGCCTGTTGGGGTGGGGATCCGCAACCTCAGCTTCTTCCTCGTGTGGGGAGAATATTCTGGCATCCCCACAAGGGGCCGTGTTGATGTATAGGTGGAACTTGTAGCGGTCCTTCACCTTCAGGAAATGTCTATACTCAGAGTCATCGGGCACCTGTTCTATCACGCACGGTGTGTCGGGCGGCATCTCTGGAAAAACAATTGACTGATGAAATTATTTGCAAACAGACGATCTCGCGATAGTTAAAAAACGCAAAATTTTTAATACATAGGGGATTTTTAGCTGTGTTCCAGCCAAACAACCGTATCAGGGATGAGTGAATAGCAGAAACCCGAATTTATCGTGACTCCAAAACACCTAAAATCAACTAGACTACAGGACTAAACGCACAGATGATTTACATAGATTTAAGAGGAACTGACATTAATAGATTTAAGAGGAACTGACATCAATATTTAAGAGGAACTGACATCAATAGATAAAGAGGAACTGACATCAATAGATTTAAGAGGAACTGACCTCCGCTAATGATAGCATTATAGAGCTCCATCTGGGCCAGGAGGAAGTGAACAAGGCATCGTCTGGACACAATTTCAGCGTGGCAGTCGTTGAGGCACTGGCCACTAATGCTCAGTCTCTCGCCATTGATGCACTTGGTGCCAGTGCTGACGCTCAGGATGAAAGTGGCATCAGAATCCTCGTCGTCCGTGACCACGATGCCCGCCAGTACCTTGCGTTTAGCGATGGTTGGGTTGTTGCTCGTCAGCTCCATGAATTTCTCGCACACGAGTCTAGGAATAAAACAAAATGGAATTAAATATACAATTAAAATCACGGACGCAATAATAAATATTTTTTGAGAACGGTGAAATATTACGAAATGCAGCTAATTACAGAGACTATTAAAAACGGATTTTGTAGAAATACAAGCTAATTGTAACGTATAAATGATAATTTTAGGTACTGGTATAAGGAAATCAGTCCTATCATTCCTTCAGTATAATCATGTAATAATGAACTAGATACTTGATGCTGTACAGACAGTAAATGAACCACTACGTCTCTAAATCGTTTTTTCTACAAATTAATCTAAAACGAGGCGAGAAATGACCAAGACAAAGACAACTAGATAAAATAAGAAAGTATGACACTGATTTACTACCTAAAAAATTTGAAAATTGCTTGCAAGATTCTTTGAGACGCTAGTAAGCAGATGTAAAACGATGGACACGACAACGATTCGGTATACGGCGAGAAACATTAAGGAACGGGACAAAACCAGACATTCCGAATGCGTGGATTGAGTATTTAAAACTTAAATCCATGATTATTTTGATATGACCTTTAGTACATGATAAACAGAAAAAAAATAATTTATCACATAAATAATTATAATAATTTTTCATATAAATAATTGAAACTAACACAAGGTAGTTTAAGAAATGTCTGAAAATTTGTTATCAAAATTTCATATTAAAGATTAACTATAATGTTATGAATCGTCATATCCTGCAAAAATATGTAAATTAGGAGTAAATGTAAACTCCTATTTTGCTCGCGACCTCTCGTCTCGATATCGTTCAAGATTTTCACCTTAGTTAAAACAAGACTCGCCTTTTATCGCAAATCGCGATCAAACTTTCAGGATTTTTGCGTCTCGAATAAATAAGAACAAAACGCAGATGTTCAACATTAGAGCTAATTATTATCAATGAATTTAGTCACTAACATCTTATTCTAACATGCAGCATCGTAGATATGTAAGGACTATTTCTAACAAAATAGCGGGTTTTCCATAATGTAGTGTCAAGACCGAAGGTTACCTCGAAGGTGGTAGTGTGTGCGACGGGTTAGTTAGCCTCCTGCCTATTCAGATGCGTGTCCCGTATGTTATTTTCAACCTATTATTCATCTGTGCTGTAAATAAACTGTATTTGAATAAATGCTTGTGGGAACAAGTCTTCACTAATACTCCGACGAAAACTCTTTATAAACTGACTTGGTGAAGAACCTGATCAAGTTATTACAAGATACTTGGCAACCTTAACTTAACAATTTCATTCAGAATCGTGTTTGCCACATGTTACTCATATCTACAAGCCTGAACAGTGAAAATATAAATTATGGTAGGCTCAGAGCAATTACACTCAAGAACCTAATCGCTTACAGTATCATTCATAATTATTTCTGATGCTTGTTACTCACTTAGCAACTTTATCAGCGACGGTCTGAGGCATCTGGAGATGCACCAAGGAGCCGAACTGCGTCTGCTGTAAGGTGCTGTTGGAGCTGCTGGCCACCACGCCATAGATCACGCTGAGGGCCTGACGAGCAGCCGCTGCACGGGCGTGCTTCTTGCTGTTGCCTGCAACAATAACGACTACAGTGGCACCAGGACAATAATGACTACAGTGGCACCAGGACAATAATGACTACAGTGGCACCAGGACAATAATGACTACAGTGGTGCCAGGACAATAATGACTACAGTGGTGCCAGGACAATAACGACTACAGTGGCACCAGGACTATAATGACTACAGTGGCACCAGGATAGAGTGAAGTAGCAACATAACAGCAAGGGTTGCTTCTTGCTATTAACGACTACAGTGGTACTATTAACGACTAGCAACATAACAGCAAGGGTTGCGACTAATAATAGACTAATAATTGCAAGGTGGGAAATAGACTAATAATTACAAATGCAATAGGAAGAAACGAAATAGCAAATGATGAACGATCACCGGAAATAGTTTGACAAAAGTTATAATTCTATAAGGGATCACTGTTTACAGAAATGACATTTATAAATAGAACAATTGTCCTCTAGTACTAGTGATGTTTACCAGTACAACTACTGGATTTCATTGGTGCAATAAAAACTCGTACGATTATATAAAAAATCTTTCATGGTCTAAGATAATGTTCAAACGTGATTATACTGTGTGATGGAAATATTAGCTGTGTCGGTGAAGATATTTAATATCTTACAATAATTCCATATATATATATAATATCTCATAATATATATAATATTACCTGTGCCAGTGAAGAGCTTCTTGTCGAAGCGCAGTTCATAAGTAAAGACGCGCGCGTGAGGCTCGCCGTCTTCCCTAACTAATGTGTACTCGCAATCGCCATGCATTTCGTTCAGTAACATAATAGGGTTCTTGTCAGTGACCGTGGGCCCGTTGTAGACTTTGCTCACCCCAGAAGCCTGGGCAACTTGGGCCCGTTTGCTGGCACCACTTCGGGCTTTGGTAGAATGAAGGGTAACGCCGTTAGACTGGTCCAGCGCAGAAGTGGAGGAGCTTGGAGACACTGATGAAGATGCGCCTCCTAACATAGCTTCTGCTCCAGCTTCTGAGCAGTCGCCGCTGCTGCTGCTACGTGAGCTGTCCCTACAGCCACCCGAGGAGTTGATGCCACTTGCAGCAGAACGGCTACGTTGCCCACGAAGAGTCTTGCGGGAGAGTCTCATGGCCAGAGGAGACTCAGTCTCTGCTGCTGAACCACTGCTGGCCTCCATGTCTGTCATGCCGCTGCTCACGACTGCAGCAGCGGCTGTAATGTCGTCAGCTGCGGCGACAGCGGTGTGGGCAGGCATGCTGGAAGTTACCTCGGAGATGGAAGTGTTTATAGTCGACGAGAACGAGGGAACCTCTGAGGAGGAGGACGTCGGATGTGCAGGAACAGCAACGCCTCCGAAGTTTCGGTATTGTACCGTCACTGAGTTATCCGCGGTCGCGCTCGACCCCTAGAAATTAAGTTATGTGAGTAAGAGTATAAATATACCCTACGGATTTCACAGTTGAAGGCAAGCCCCTGAGCATAGTTTTACTCAAAAATTACAAAAATTAATCATACTTGTAGTAAATTTATTTCATTCCAAATCCGAACCATACTGAAGATCTAATTTACTCGCTAAATTCATTACCGCTCACAAAATTAAAAGCAAAGCCGAGCTAATCTAAATTCCTCTAAGCCAATTACGAGCTCGAGCTTCTATGAGAATATATACCATTTAAATTATAAAATATGTCAATGGTCTTCATTTGAAACTAATCTGGAAATGAATGAAATTGAAATACTGATGAATATCAAAATAAACTGGCTCCATGTCAACACAAGATCTCACCATGTACACGCCCCTGTGAGTCGTGGTCCTGGAGTCGAAAGTGCCGTCAAAGTTCTCAGTGCGGTCGTCTTCAGTGAAGTCCGTGGTCACGCCGTGGCTGCGCAAGACTCATATCAGTATTCTTAATAATAGTCGACACACCAATAGACTATTATTCTTATTATAGACAAGTTAACAAGACTCATATCAGTATTCTTAATAATAGTCGACACACCAATAGACTATTATTCTTATTACAGACAAGTTAACAAGACTCGTATCAGTATTGTATACAACAGTCCACTATTATTCTTATTATAGACAAGTTAACAAGACTCTATTGTATACAACAGTCCACTATTATTCTTATTATAGACAAGTTAACAAGACTCGTATCAGTATTGTATACAACAGTCCACTATTATTCTTATTACAGATAAGGTAAGAGTTATTCATAACAATCATTATAAATGCGCTGGTGTGCTGAACACGATGCTGTTCAGTACTCAGTTTTCATGTTAATTTTCCAAATTTGAAGCAGGAAAGCTGCTCAGAAATTGCAATTGTTCCAAGTTATACATTACAACTTTCACTTTTTTCCAACAGTGACAGATTGTAATATTTATTACCATCTATCTATTTATTACCATCATTTTAATATTTATTAAAAATACTTTCAGACTTCTTAAGGGGCAAGAACATTGAATTACAGAGAGCATCCCATCAGATGAAGATTTTGGACGGTTTTACTATAATTTCTTATTAATAGTACATATAAATGCAAAAATAAATATTTATTTACAAAACACCAATGATTTATATACTGTTAATTATCATCTATTCTATGAATCAGCTACTATGAATAAATAAAAGCTCATTAATATATTCCTTAATGTCTCAGCCCAGCATTGAAGTTGATTTATATAGTATCACTCAATTTATGTTATTAATACACATTACATTGTCTCAACAGAATCATTTTAAACCACAGATATTGAATAAAATAAGACAAGATTTTATTTTAAAATCCCTGCCAGGGCAAACAAGAGAGGGCGCCGTTCAACATCCAGTGCAACCCTCGTTACATTTACATCGTGACAGCAAAAACTACACCACAACACTTCTACTTTTATTCAATTACCAGCCGCCTCAATAGCAGAGCAGCAGTAAATAGCCAGTAAACTTATATCTAAGCTCAGTGTGGGCGATGAACTGATTAATTCAATATACTACAACATTATATTTAAAATATCACATCACCGACGATCACATCAGTATTAGGATGACTGAGATCAAGTCACGGTCAGATCGATGAGATCGCGTCAGCGTGTTCACTTCCAGGGCCCATACTTTCAAAACTCGCCAAGTGAACGTAAGTACTTAAGCTCTATTTTCTTGTCTATGATTGGTGGATTTTGCTTGAAAAGCCATCAATGATTGGCTGATGAACTTACGATCTCTTAACTTTTTTTGAAAGTATGGGCCGTGGCCTTCAGGAGGACCCGAATGAGGTTAAAACTTTCGACGTAAAAATTCAACTCCTCAGTAATTCCAAAGGTTTCGTTGGTGACAAGAAGTTATAACTTAAATAAAAGATAATTCTATCATTCTACGCCCACCACATAATATGCCTAGGGATAAAAGAATTGGAGAACTGTAGCAATAATATATGCGCATGCTAAAATTACCATTATCTCTACACAAAATTTAATTAGCGAATTCAAGCAAGACTTAATTAAACGGTCAAGAAAGAGAAAAATTATTAGCATCAAAAATACTTGATAGCAATTACTCCCGTTAGTAGAGAAAGTTGAACTAGGAAAGAACTGAAGCTTTCCAGTTGAGAATCTTCGGAAGACGAGTGTTCAATCAAGCCCTCAAGTTTTCCAAAGATTTTTCAGCAATTCTCGCTGAAATCCTAATCGGTGCACGACAAAAAAATGCCGATTCTAACCGTTAATACTGATTGTACACATGTAATTAATATGAATAAGATTATCTAATAGAAACAATTACTCTAATGTTCATTTAAATCATTTCCATTATTCTGTCAAATCAATAAATTAAAAATCAAATACAACGTACAATCGTCAGCGGTAAAATGAATATTTACAAGCATCGGTCATTTCTTATAATTAGCACAACAAATGCATTAGCACCATCAAGACTTTGCACTTACATTGTAATCATGAACACTTGTGACACGAGTACACGTGATCAGAATTAAAATAGAGATATTATGGGTGTACGAATTTCCACGTAATGTGAATAAAGCGAGATTCTGTAGCGTCATCGCATTGGATCAGCGAGAGTCACAACAGAAACAGGAAATCTTCGCCGCGGTCATGATTTGAGCCCACAAAGAGAGAGCTTAGATGAACCAGTAATGTCTCGTAGAATTTAACTAAAACCCAGCACACAGTCTAATGCCAAACATCAATTTATCAAGAACTTCGATCAGGCAGTTAACGACATAACTGCTATGAGAAGTTAAAATCTGATTAGGCTATTTATACATTTAGGAACCACAATATATCGAAGTCAGTACTAAAAATGAATAAAAAAAATGACATGGTTAAAATCATACGGTGACAGCAATACACTGCAAAAAAGCATGCATTACCGACGTATTTGCCCGCCATAAAAACTACTTCTTTAGTTGCTGTACTGCCTTCTAGAACTGCCAATGAGATGAGTCTAACTCACCAAGAAGTTTCTTCATTTTTTAATTCAAAATTCTTCATAGCTTTGTAGTTGTCCTTGTTGGTCAACGACGGTTCATTTATTAGCGATGTAGAGCCATTAGTAACTACCACAGAATCAGAGTTATTTATTTGCGACTCATTCCACAGTTTATTTTCAAGTGATTTCGTTTTTTTGAAATTACTTCCTTTTTGCCCTTCTTGTGTCAGCGGTTCGCTTACAATTTGTTCGTTATATACATCGGTTGTGAGAGGCTTTTTCTTCTTTCTCCTCTTCTTCTTGACAACCTCGCTGTCGAGAGGTCCACCAGCGACATCTGTTAGTGCGTTGTGAGCCTCAGCGACCTCTAAATCTTCGGTCTTCGAATCCTGGCTGGAGCCTTGAATTTCCTTGGCAGCAATAGCACTACTAGATTCATTACGTTCACGGACTACTAATCCATTTGCATACAAGTCTTTCACAGTATTCGACCGGTTATAGCTATTCCAAGTCTCTGCACGATTATTATTTTCGATTATTGCTTCAACGAGACGCTCTTCGGGAACCCGAGTGTCATCGGAATGTGCCACTTCAACACTTCTAGGAGGATCCCCACCCAACTGGGCCCCATTGCAAACATCAGGATCGACAACTCGTTCACGCACTTCAGAGGGCGAATGGGTTGCAGATTTAGAAGCTTGCGGGCGCGCAGTAGTGGCGACATCGCCCCACGAAGTCCGACGCATGGGAGTGTTCGCAGGCGAGACAAAATCTCGCGTTCTGTAGGCCGTGGCCATCGGAGGCCGCTCGCGCCACGAACTATAGCTGTTAGGAAACTTGTCATTTCTGGATGCACACATCAATGGCAACATTATCGTCGTTTGCGAAGAGAAAAAGTATACAAACGGCTTAGAGTGAATACGAGGATTCGAAGCTAAAGTTATTCTATCATTTGATGCCACCGAAGCTCAATCAAAATGAAAAATCATGGGCCTGAGTCCTCGCTTCATGATCCCGCTGATGGCTTTTAATACACAGCTTAAAACGCAATGACATATAAACTGACATTAGCGGTACTACTCAACAGGGCAATGCGAGAGCAGAGCCTGACTGACATTGAAAAATTGCACATGAGAATATGAAAATTAATTATCGCACGTCGGTGATTAATTTTTTCCAGATAAGGAATGGATATTACTTCAGTGATTCCAACAAAGACGAGGATTGTTCATCAGGATTGAAAGGAAGAAACTAATTTAAATTACTTCGAAGGATTGTTTGTGAAATTGATCATGAAATAAGTGGAATCTAGATGAACCGGAAAGCAATTAAAGCTACCAATATGTTTTGTTGTTGATGTTTGGAATGTGCAGCGATTTTTCATTGACAATAAATGCTGTAATAAAATCAAAATCGGTGCGAATAGTGGCAAATGATGTAAGCAACTGAACTCTCTGTACTGAGAACAAAGACGCTATGGAGAAAAATTGTATTCGTTACTGAAACCAATGACAAGCGCTAAAGTCAATCAAGCGAAGACTTTAATGCAGGGATAAATTATTACGTTTCGGACATGTGTATTGATAAACGCTAACTTCCAGGCCTGCGCTTCCGAATAGGATTGACGCTGTTCATGCATCCATAAACAAATGAGAGAAGCGACCTACTGAGAGACAATACAGGGAAATTCTTCGACTGCGGGAGTTGTAAACTCATCTTACCCAGGATTGTGCGTTGAGAAGGCCTGAGCAACGTTATCAGCGTAACGGAACTGTATGAAGGAAGCCAGAGCTGCGGACGCTGCGTTGTGCTTGGCCAACTTCTTGCTTGGACCCGTACCTCGGTACTCAACGTCTTTCATCTGCAAAAATAACATGACATTAATGTGCAAACACATGGTAAATTCTTCTGCAAACATATGGAAAATTCTTCTGCAAACACATGGCAAATTCTTCTGCAAACACATGGTAAATTCTTCTGCAAACACATGGCAAATTCTTCTGCAAACACATGGTAAANACCGAGTTGAATATGGGAACAAGAACGCAGGGTATAATTGAAATTACCGAGTTGAATATGGGAACAAGAACGCAGGGCATAATTGAAATTACCGAGTTGAATATGGGAACAAGAACGCAGGGTATAATTGAAATTACCGAGTTGAATATGGGAACAAGAACGCAGGGCATAATTGAAATTACCGAGTTGAATATGGGAACAAGAACGCAGGGTATAATTGAAATTACCGAGTTGAATATGGGAACAAGAACGCAGGGCATAATTGAAATTACCGAGTTGAATATGGGAACAAGAACGCAGGGTATAATTGAAATTACCGAGTTGAATATGGGAACAAGAACGCAGGGCATAATTGAAATTACCGAGTTGAATATGGGAACAAGAACGCAGGGTATAATTGAAATTACCGAGTTGAATATGGGAACAAGAACGCAGGGCATAATTGAAATTACCGAGTTGAATATGGGAACAAGAACGCAGGGTATAATTGAAATTACCGAGTTGAATATGGGAACAAGAACGCAGGGCATAATTGAAATTACCGAGTTGAATATGGGAACAAGAACGCAGGGTATAATTGAAATTACCGAGTTGAATATGGGAACAAGAACGCAGGGCATAATTGAAATTACCGAGTTGAATATGGGAACAAGAACGCAGGGTATAATTGAAATTACCGAGTTGAATATGGGAACAAGAACGCAGGGCATAATTGAAATTACCGAGTTGAATATGGGAACAAGAACGCAGGGTATAATTGAAATTACCGAGTTGAATATGGGAACAAGAACGCAGGGCATAATTGAAATTACCGAGTTGAATATGGGAACAAGAACGCAGGGTATAATTGAAATTACCGAGTTGAATATGGGAACAAGAACGCAGGGCATAATTGAAATTACCGAGTTGAATATGGGAACAAGAACGCAGGGTATAATTGAAATTACCGAGTTGAATATGGGAACAAGAACGCAGGGCATAATTGAAATTACCGAGTTGAATATGGGAACAAGAACGCAGGGTATAATTGAAATTACCGAGTTGAATATGGGAACAAGAACGCAGGGCATAATTGAAATTACCGAGTTGAATATGGGAACAAGAACGCAGGGTATAATTGAAATTACCGAGTTGAATATGGGAACAAGAACGCAGGGCATAATTGAAATTACCGAGTTGAATATGGGAACAAGAACGCAGGGTATAATTGAAATTACCGAGTTGAATATGGGAACAAGAACGCAGGGCATAATTGAAATTACCGAGTTGAATATGGGAACAAAAATTCAGGGCATAATGCAATGGAAACGATGCCTACGAGTGTATTTAGGTGCTCTTCGCCTGTCGCGACTCAAGGACTATTAATGATGTACCCCTCCTCAAGCGATCTTTTCGTTGTAGCGGCCTAGCATTGACGGGGTTTATGAAACGGATACGTAGCATGAAGACCGCCGCAGCTTGCAAGTTAATGCAAGTGCGAACCATGCATTAACTTGGTGGGATGCAAGACACTGCATCATAAGCTTACCGCTCGTCAGAAGTGTGACTGATCGTAAGATAGATCATAATAAGATGGATCATAATAAGATGGATTATAATAAGATAGATCATAATACACGTGGTATTGAACGACCGAGAATCCACTATCTCAAATTGTGGAGAACGAAGCCAGCAGCACTTCCAGCAACGCAAGGTTTAGTAGACCAGGCGTACGTACGTAGGCCTAGATTACGGACAACGAGCGCCAGGTTCAGTTACGTGTCGCCAGACCAGCGATATTATTGGTGGACATGCGGAATAAGGCTTACCAGCGTTTTTTGTCGTTCAAGTAAATCGTGGGAATTTGACTGTCATTGCCACATTTGGGACTTGTCCCAGGAGCATGTATATGTCGCGTGAGTGATAAGAAAAGAAATAATCAGATAATGTAAAGCGAAATTAATTAATCGCGATTCGTAGAATACGAGAAAATAAAATTCGTTCGCGTCTTAGAATATAATTCAACGAGTCATCGTAGTTTGCGTTAACGCATACAACTAAACTAGTTTTTTTTCAGAGTGTCTTTTCATAAGCATACGGAACAGATGTTATTTTGCACACATAACATATCGACATCTCAAGAAGAACATGGAAACAGCTTGCTTATCTATAAAGGCAAACCAACAGCTTCACCCACACCGGTTTTTCGTAGCACTCCTAAAATTAAGTTAGTTCATCCTTCCTTATCGTCATTCAAACAAAACTGAAGGATGTACACTCTGATTAATCAATGGTGTAGAGGTGATGGATTAAACGTTATTTTGCAATTACGTATTATACTTTTATTAAATATGTTGTCTTTCAAGAAATAATCAGAGTTAGAATTGCAAGAACGTTTCTAGAGAGCAGTGGGAACGACGTCTTGAAAGCAGCATCTTGTGTCTCGTCCCAGTATTGAAAGCTAATAGCTGCCTATTTGTCAAGCAATGAATGTGAACAAGTGCTGCAGCTTTCATTGAAGAAAGACATCACATTGAATTTAATGTGATGTCTCGTGCATCTAAGTATTTTACTCTAACCGTGGTTTAATGAAAACTGAACCTGCCACTATACCCACGATAATGGCCCAAGCAAGATGCACCAATTGAGTCAACCTAGAAATGGGTGCTGTTACCGTTCAACTAAGCCCTAACACATTCATATGTACATCACAGATGCATGAGCACAGGGTCAAACAGCGATCGATCTTATGTCACGCCATTCTCTCATTCAAGTGAATTATTATTCCGAGAGCTGTTTGGTTATTTCATAAGCAACAAGAAAACAAGCACACAAACTTACCTGAATTTGATATTGAGGGCCTCTTAGAGAAAGAGGATTAAAATAACTTCCGGAATTTAGGTTGACATTTGAACATGTAAGTACCGTGTAAACATTGTAATGGATCTCTAATTTTAATCACAACGAAAACTTTGACAATTGGAATGCGTCGAAAGGAAGACTTTCAAAGATTGGGTTGTGTTGATAAACATTGGTACATCAAGAAAAAGCAAAGCAAATTCCAGTAAACGTTATTACATGTAATGTCATATACTACATGAAATCAGCATAAAGTATTTTTACCACGAAGACCACAACGCTGTATTTTCTCCAGCTTGTTATACCTTTGTTCATTTCGTGCAAAATGAAAGAGACTGCTTCAGGCGCTGTGATGCAGACATCTCCGAGCATCGAACTATAGTTGACAATGTCCGGCCAGTAAGGTGCTGTTCAAAATGAGCCAAGAGCAGAAGGATAGACAAAACGAAAAACGTGTTAGAAAATAAACAAAATGCAAATACGAAAAAAAATTGCGTTAAAACAAGCAAAACGAACAAAAAATAAGTGCGGTACAAATCAAACCACGGCCGTAACTCATTAGTGGAAAAAAACCAAACATTAAAGGGGTTGAAAAAGTTGCAAAGTAATCAACAATGAACGCAAATTGGTTGAGTAAGCATTAAAAAATGAAAGTGAGACGCATGAAACTTGCGAAACAAATGTTTAAAAAGAAAACATAGTGGAATTCCGAATTCATATCTTGCATGTGACTAAAGAAATCATTTATGATCTGTCAATGATTTGATGTAGAAACTGTCAATGGCATTTCTAATACAGCATTGAACAGCCAAAAGCAACAAGAATCCATACAAGTAGCAACAAACAGAAAATGAGAAACAATATTTGCATTAGCAACTTTTAGATACATGAATAAGCCGGCCATATTGTGTACGAGAAATGAGACGGTTTTTCTAACGGCAGGTTTCATTATCAATGCAAAAAATCATCAATGAAGCTGCCTCCTGAAAATTAAAGTACACATTTTGAGGCTCCTACATAATTCTGACTCAAGTAGAATAGAAATTTATTGTAACAAAATATCTGCAGAAAACTAGAAGGTAACGATAAAAAAAGCCCAATCAAAGGATTGAAGATGTGCAGAAAACATCAAAACTAAAGAAGTACCACGGAACAATAAAAAGACCCAGTTATACCTTAATTTAATTAAGTCCCATCATACAAAAAATTCAAGTTTTACGAAGACTAATAAGGGCCTGAATACCGATAATATGAATGTCCATTCAAGACAAATTTAGCCTAGTAAGGAAATGAATGAAAACATCAAACCTAACTGATAGCACGACACCACATGTTATCACGGCACAGCTAATAAACTCGTATGTTGTAAAGCATTTCTTCAAACATGGGAAGGACAGGAGTAGAAACGGATTAAAGAATTTCTCAATTTGTTACAAATAATTACTGGTTACTTAAAATTCAAGTATTTCATGTTAGAGAGCTTAAATTAAGCGATGGAAGCTTGAGCCTCTCCACAGCGTGAACACTTTAGAAGTTCATCATATCAATCGAAGCCCCATTTGCATTGTAAAGGGAAAGATTCAAATTTCAATTATAGGCTTGTAAAAAATAATTGACAATTTTCTCTTGGTTTTAACTGACTTTGCGCATGAAATATAATGCTGGATTGTTGAGAATATCAATTGATATGATATAGCATCAGCACCTATGGGTGATGCCAGTTACTTTGGCAAAGAGACAATTAAAGCCATGCCCGTTTAGAAGTTATAATAGAAGTTAACGTGCAAGATTATGAAGAGCAATTTCAATGCGTGAGAAAAAGCAAAATGCTACATGTCAACAAATGCTAACCACTATTCACAGCAAGTAATGAAGCAACGAATACAAATTAAAATTAAGCGAAACCTAATAATTGAAACGATAAAATTAAACCAATTTTTTTTTAAATGAAGTCAAGACAAGAGAGAAAATTACAACTACCGAAGATTAATTCAAACCAATAGAAGACGAAAATTATTCAGAAGCAAAATTACGTGGCTAAATTAACGACGAGACTATAACGGGAAGGAAATAATCGATTTTCTGTCTCAAGGCCCGAAAATCATTGCGGCCAGCATCCAAATATACAAATCTTCAATGAATTGGACAACACAGTCTTCGAGCCCTCACCATTATAAAATGACTGCGAGGAGATGTAATTCAATAACACATCATAAAAATATCCATCGCAATCAATCACACAATTATATTCCTTAAAACCGACGGCTAGATGAATAATTTTTCGACAGGAAGTTAGTGTGAGTAAAAATATCGTTCTGCAGCAGCCTGATATATTTCTAAGTGATGTTTGTACAAGTCAAAACCTGTAAAAGCACACAGAGGAAGCTAATTCCCAAACGGTAACCAATAACAAGAAGACAGGAACAGGAACAGCGACTAGCCGGTTTTCGATATGAGGAGCAAAAGCAGAGAAGCCAGCCATGTTAGTAACCGAACTACAGCCCTGAATACTGCAAGTAGCAAACAATACCAGTGTTGTCGATGATCTAAAATTACCTGAACCATTTTGATAGATCCAACCGAGTAGTGGCAGAAATGCAAACAAAACCTCATCTCATAGAAATTTTCCAAATTACGTAGATAAGATTTGAATTGTACGAGAATAAGAATTTTCACCAACCTTTATTAGGATACAAGAGCCTGATTTGTTCTGGCAAACCAAGGAGGCACGGCTCGCCACCTGCAATGTGGACAGGCAACCAATGTTGCAATAAGATCATAAAATAAAAACTTTGACTCTGAATAAACGCGCGAAATTTCTCGCTGGGAAATCTACACAAGTCAAGTCATATCAACAAAACTAATAAAGACATCTGTAATTGTTGCACACGCAAACTGTGGGTTAAAGGGGGGTCTCTTGCTAAAGACTGAATATGAAAAGATGAACCCCAACTCAATTTACACGTGTCGTATATTGCCAGGCAAAATTATGAGATGAGATTATGAATACAGACTTAACTTGTGTTCAAATTACAGAATGTCCGCCACATTTGTATCGTAAAACAGAAATGTTGCGCAAGTGAGACGAGTTGCATTAGAAAGCAAAGTTGCAACTGGTCACCATTCGACACCAGGGTATCCTCCTGGCGCCGCTATAAAGAGCCGAAGTTCTCGTCAACTGAGCATCAAGTGAATGATGAGCGCAGGCTGATATCAAATACATGCATCTCGAAAAAACGCGCGGTGGGTATGGTAATGTAAAGAAAAACGAGATCTCCACACAATCCAACATCAGAGAATTGAATGTTCTCACACAGCGTATAGATGTCGAAACGAACAATTATCGATACGGCATAATTGTATTTCAACGCGAGGGTTCAGGGCAAACACAAATGGCTTTTGATCAAGATGAGAAGGCGACTACGGTTTGCGGGAAAAGTATTACCTTTAGGGTACATAACTAACGGCGGAACACGATTTACGCATTTTGAAATTCATGATCACAAAAATAATGGATAAAAATTGAGAAAAAAGTCCATTTCCCAAAAGTCCATAAACTTTTCCCTGTGGAAATACTTCAATATCGTTACTACACTAACCAACCTAATCGAATCTAGATATTTAACATGGTAGACAAGGACTAGAGATGAGTCGTGTGAGATCATGTTAAATTATTGCAAACAAAACTGACAACATTAAAAGCACGAAACAATTTAATTTATTTCTATTTCGCAGAAACTGAAATAGAAATAAATCAAATAATCAGGGAATTTCAATCAGGCAGATTAGTTCAATTATAAACATACCGCACAATAGATCCAGACAGTGCAACACTTATTCGAGAAGCAAACGAAGTTTACCAGAAGTAAATCAAACCATCCATTCAACGACCTGTCCTATGCGATTTTTGCTTATCTTTAATAGTTTAATACACCCTAGACTTAGTACAATAATATAAGTGAAGCAACTTAATTCTTCGGAATAATTTAGGAATAGTAATAAAACGGACATTTTTGAAGGTGAAATGTTCAGACAGTAGAGAAAACGAGATAATACAGTTAAGTTAGGAATTCTGAAGGTGGCTTGGTGTTTTAATCCATTACAACCTGGCAAACAGTCGATCAATTAAATAATGTTCATATAACCACGTCAGGAATACAAGTGAATTTCTATATAGCAATAAGAAGAAAAAATTAACCTAAGCGAGGATTTTTATGGAAGCTTAGTATCAAATATGATGCAGGAATAATACATACAAAAAACGTATGTCCCATACCTGGATTTGTGCCAGCATCAAGTCCAGCGTCTTGAGCGGAATGCTTGTGACCTCTCAGGCCTGGGTTCACTTCATTGCTGTCAGCCGTGGCATGCAACTGAGGACCCACGGGTGCAAGAGGTGCTCTGAAGTCGCGGTCCCTCCGCTCGGCCTGCGTGTCGTGTAAATTTCCTTCAGCCCCTGACGGGCTTATAACTTCAGCCCCAGCAGGGCTCATTGCTTCAGCCCCAGCAGGGCTCATAGCTTCGGTTTGCTCAAAGCCACCACCCTGAGCGTGAGGTATACCTGCACAATTTCTCGAGTGAGATTTATCATCGCGAAAGGGGGAGTGGTTACGAGAATTAGGCATCGATGAACCACGATTGAAAGTTTTGGCTGGCTTGTAGTTATTTGTACTCTTGTAAATCTTTTCATTACCGTAGGAAGAATGCTGGCCTTGAAAGTGATTGGCATACTGGTTGTCGACATTTTCATGAACCCGGGAGAAATAGTTATCAACATTGTATCTCTGATGGAATCTCTGGTGATTCAAGATATTTTGCTGCTCCCAAGTTGAAACAGAACCATAATTTTCAAATGAACCATAACCAGAATGACGCGGGCGAGGATTCAAACCAGGGCCATTGCGTACCCCGAACCTAGAAAATCCTGCAGGTTGTTGGCCGGGAAACGCAGGTCTGGGACCACGGGGGGCAATTGGCCTAACTATTTGGTTGGAATACGCATTAAAGCCCCCTGTAGCCACCGTATGTGGAGGCTGCGAGAAATGCCTAGGCAGGATCGAGTGTTGGAAGTTCCTAGGCATCTCATGCGACCCCCTCCTACTGCCAGCATGAGTGTCTTGACTCACCACGTTACCATTACTCAAAGCCCACTTAGTTCGACATGAAAGTTGCGACCTCTGACCAGGCAGCGATGATGCACCAGTCTCTTCATTATCTTTAAGATTAGGTTGATTTTGCGCATTACTGAACTGACGATTAGGCTTCTGCACATTAGGAGGAGAAATAGAATTTTCTTTGTTGTAATTCGAGACACTTCTGGTCCTAGAACGAGAAAATGAACTAAGCCCGGATTCGCCAGCACAGCCGTTTGCATTGTAAATCCTCTCTTGAGGAGCTGCAAAAGATGTCGAATGATGAGAACTTTCATTTTTTGGAGCGTAGAGACTAGCAGAATTATATGGCACCCCATCATGATGCAGTGAAGGGTGACCGTGGGCGTGATTAGAGGGTGGTGAGGTTAATGATGGTTGGATGTTGGCTTGAGAGTGATGATTATTATGCCGCTGCTGAGTGAGTTGAGTGGCCCGTGTTTGTGGAACAGGTTGAGCGGGCCTGAAAGCGTAATTATTAAACCCAGCATGATTAGGAGGCATTTGGGCACAGACAACGTTAGGCCGCGGTACATCCAAGTCTCCAGGGAAATTGCGTGCATGCGAGCCGCTACGAATCGAGTCAGAATTTCGTACATTGGGAACCGTGAAATTATTTGACTTGAGGCAGCCTTGAGAATGTGAAGCCTCAGGTATAATAGGAGATGATGCATGTCTGCTGCTATTGCTGCCTTTCTGTCCATCAGCATCATTGTTGTGATGTAAAGTTTGACTCAAAGTCTTGTCATGAACCGTGTCGAGGAAACTGCTATATTTAACTTCTGGTGCTTCAAGCATTTCTGAGCTTGAAGCATTAGAAGTCGGTGAATTACGAGCTAATTTGACTTGAGTCTCGTCGGGCTTGTGAGTAGAATTGGCACCTGCCACTAGGCGAGGTTTAACAGTGCAATTTGTGGTCCCTTTGCCTGTGCAAAGAAGAGAAGCAAGGAGTTAGCAAACATGCAAAACGAAAAAGAAGCCAATGCAACAAGAGGAAAAACATCTCGTTTAGTGATGGTTGAAGAAGGAAAAAGATAACATGCATGCATGAACAAACTGGGCGGATTTCACTTTGTATTTTGGTTAATAAATTCAATCGTTATTTCGAGAGAAAATTTCTAGTGAAAAACCCTCTTTGACATTGACTTGGGGCTTCACTTGATATAAATGAACATTTATAGCACATATCATGATAAAAGGAACTGATAAATAGCAATAAACAAGCTGAGGAAAGCATCACAAATCACATCAAGCAAAACAAAAATTATGTAAATAAATGTAAAATTCAGAAGCTAATCAAGTTGAAAAAATGATTATTCTACAAGATTACAACTAAAATCAAAGAAACCCTTTGGGGAAAATTGTTGTCAATTAAAATGACCAGTGAAAAATTCATTTGCAGAAAGAATGACAAAAAAACTAAGATAATTTGTAAAACTCAAATCATAACATTCAAAACAAACATAAAAACTTCAGATTAATAAGCTCCTTAATTTGGCTTTGAAGCAGTGAGAGTGAGAGTCCATATCAGGGATGTTAGCGGTCAGAAAATGGGCAAAAAAACTTGCACAGGCATTGCCCTACCTAAGGGTCAAATTACAGTCAAATGTGAGCACAATAGCTGACAGACATTCAAACAGTTTCCAATAATTTCAAAATGGTAGTCTTATGGTTGCTTGTCATTCTTTAGAATCTGACAATCATGCATGGTGCGTTCTATTTAGGAAAAAATTCCATGACTTTATGACCTGGTTCTAGTAATCTTTGAATGTCAACTGAAAAGAGAGTAGTCGGCACAGCATAACCAAACCTTGCCACAATACATATGTACATGATGTGTATCAAACCTACGCATCCACTTGTATATTTATTTGATCTTACAATTTTCTTACGAATCCTTTCTCTACTGGTTTCAAATGGAACTGCTTGGCATTAATGGGTTAACACACGCAGCACAGAGAAAAAAAAAAATTTTCAATTGTTTGCAAATTCCATGATTTTTCATGTATTCCATGACCTGTACACACCCTGGACAATGTGAAGTAGAGAACAGGAATGAGTGCATAACACAACAGGTGCTTGAGCAAACTGCACACGAAGTTAAACCATGGTTCATTAGAGCTCATGATTGAGAGCAGCATGACTGTTTTCTAAGTTAAGCATTTACTTGAATGATAAATTTTTATTGAACATGGTCATAAAAAATGGATAAAAAAATGGTAGAAATTAAGATGTCCTTCTGGTATTGTATAAGTTACCACTCAAATTGAACAGAAAAACAGGATTAATTTACATTAAATCCTTATAAGGAAGCGGAAAGCAACCAAGCCGTTATTTTTGCCAGATTTTTGCTAACTTTAAGATGCTATTGCATAGAATCCATCATTTGCAGCTGAAACTATAACTATGAGTAATATGCAAGTAACATCAAATTGAGATGTAATTCTTATCAAGTCTGAAACATGACACACAAAATTTCAAGTAAAAGGTTCTTTCAAAATTCAATAGGATCTCATAAGAAATTCAGTGCTACTGTCTTAGGGAATATCATTAGGTTACACTAATGTATCATATTTTGAATGTTAAAGTGGTAGGCAATGATGCTCCATGCAAATGGACATATTTCTAAAACCAAGTTTAGCTGACAAGAAATTTAATAGCAACAATACAATTTTCAAGATTTATACTCAAGAAAATCTTTAACTGCATAAAATTAGCAAATTATGAGTTGCAAACATTTTGAGCTTGATTCAGCAAATATTCTCCAATATATAATATCATTGTCATAAATTGAAGCCAAATCTTAATCAACTCCAATACTTCAACATACAGCAAGACAGTTTTATATTCAGGGTTATTCTAAATGATGGTCCCAATTTAATAAATTTGCATTTATTCAGGTATAAATTCAAAATAACTAATCTATACACCAATGAAAACAAACAGATTTACATTTTTCTGCATATTTAGAAATATTTCATTTTTCCCCTCATGCTGCACGGCAAACATCTAAACGGTAGCCAAACTCGCCCCACGCGAGAAAGAATATCTTGTGTTACTGAGTGCACCGTAGCAGTGATACGGTTCTTCAGATCAAACAGAGTTGCTGGTAGAGGCGGGACGTAAACAGAGTTGCTGGTAGAGGCGGGACGTAAACAGAGTTGCTGGTAGAAATGGAGCTAACAGTTTCATTGACATAACCAAATAAGAAATGAGTGCAGAGCCAGATTTTCATTTCCTACCTGTCCTACCCAACAGTTAGGAAGTGACCAATTCAGAAAGCTAAAAAAAATTAAAACGCCTAATGTTGCATTTGAATAGGTAAAAATAACTTGAATCCTTCTCATTCAATTGGCATTTGAATTATCTGTTCAAAATTTATACTTAAATATATAAAATTTTTATAAAATAGGGTCCATCATTTAGAAAAACCATGTATAATACTCTAATGAAGTCATGTTGAATCTTAATTTGATTGTATCCACACAGCACATTGTTGAATCCTGTAGTCTAGAGGGAAACAAATTTTAAGCTTTAGGCCAGCAGGGTAAAAAAGCAAGGCAAGGTGCATCAACCCATCACCAACATTGACCACACCATCACTAAGGCAGACAAAAAATGTGCCAAAATCACAACTGGCAAATCAGATCACTCATGAAAACAAACAAACCCCGCACTGGAGCAGCATCCTAAAGGCCCATTACACTCCTCTGCACACCATGAAAATTTGTGGAGCGCCTCTCCTCACACTCTCCATAACCACGCTCCACATTCCTCTCTCACCCTCTCACTCACACAACACGGTTACAGAACCCATCACTCCACCACCACACTCCTCACCGACCACACACACAACGTACGTATACAAGATGGCAACTCCAAGCACCCAAGCACACCGCAAACTCCTGATTACAAATGGCATTAGCAAAGCCTTTGATGCCATCCTGCACCTCCTACTACTAACAAAGTCTACAATACAACACTACATAGCAACACTAGATGCTGGTTTGCCGATTACTCAATAGGCAGACAGTCATTTGTACACTACAATGGCACTACCACAGCACACAAAGAACATACCGAATGGAGTACTCCAAGGATCAGTCCTCTCATTAACCCTTTTCAATCTCTACATGAACATTCCAGCCCCACCAGAAAACATTTAAATTTCATCGTACGCAGACATACATCACAATTACATTAACACGCGCTTTAAAACACATGGTCCACACAAGTATAACCTTACATCACACTACCGTACTAGAGGGCTGATTTAAGGTGTCACCATCACCTATATTTCCATGTCTTTTGGGCCACACAAACAGAACATCAAAAACAAAATGCAGACCTAGGCTAAACACACTTGGATCCCTCACAGGAACAACATTTGGACACAACAAATAAAGCCTCACACTAGTGTAACAATAGATATACTCACTGCTGGACTATGCCAGTCTAGCCTTTGTATCCATAAATTCACCCTCACTCCACAACCACCTATAAACCAATCAAAACACAGCACGCAGCATTGCACTTGGTGGCACCTGAACCACACCACCCAGCCACGTCCATGCAGAAACCAAATTCCTTTTTCTGGAAGAACACCTAGCTATAGGAAGCACCCAATTCCTTGCATCTGCACTCCACAACTCCCTCAGCCTCTGCCATCACTTTCAGCATTTGGCACCATGCACCCATGCACCCAGATAACAGCTAACACTCCACACAACTACTATCTAAATACTATAAAACCTTACACCCGCCCACACACCCAGCCAACTTGAATATATACACACCCACATGTCTCACCTGGAGCGCACTCTCAAATCTACCAATCAGCAATATCATATAGACAACATGCCACCAGACATCAGCCATACAGAGCAGCAGTTAAACTATGCTGACAGGTGCAGTTCAGCAGAGTACACTGTGCTCACAATCTCTTGCTATGGTATACTCCTACAAACATCACCTGGACAGCACTCATTTCGACCTATGCCCCCAATGTCATGCATTCTTCCACACTGTCAAGCATCAACTACTCGAGTGCCCAGAGCTGGCAGCATCCAGGTTATGGACTGGCATAACATCCATCACACAACTTAATTAGGTCAGAGCCAGCTTGGGAGGTGACTTTCCTGCGCAGCGCAGGTATCCTGGCGTGACATGAACTTTGGGAACAACATCATGCTCCATAATAACATAAGCAGGTATCCATACAACTGGCAATGGAAAACTGCACAAATACACCAAGCATGTGCCTTTTATAGCAACACCCAAAAGAATTAAGCTTGCATGTGCTGTGCAGTCAAGACAACAGGTGTATGCTGTGAGCAAGCAGCGTTCATGCATGCTGTAACAGGATGGAAATAGTGATAGTACTTAGCACCAACTCGGTTATCTCTACAGTGAAAAAGTTTAGAAAATTGTGGCAGCAACAATGCAATCATTTCCTTCTTTCAGAAAGGAATAAATAACCAGCCAATTAATCTACAAGCTCTGAAACAAATAAACAAGTTTAGTTAGTTAGTTTAGTGGCCAAATGTTTACTAGCGCTTCAGCTATTTAGCTATCTCGCACCGAAAGTCAAGATGAACATCACCATGGAGGTGGAAGGTCTCAATTATTCATCACCCACAAGGGGCGGAAGGTCTCAATTGTCCAGCCCGCTGAAGCTGGCTTGAAGGAAACAGCGTTAGCATCTCAAAGAGACGAAGTGACAAGGAGGGACAGGTGAAAAGCAACAGAAACGAAGACAGTCGAACAAGAGGTCGCTTACACGGGACGTCGGCCGCCCGCACGAGAGAGACAGAGAAGGGAAATGCAAGGAATCCTGCCTACATAATAACTTAATGTAAGGAATCCTGCCTACATAATAACTTAACCCCACAACTGAGACCTGCAGTCAGACATCGCGAGCTCAGCGGTGGGGCGCTCAGGAACAATCCCCCTAGGAACGCGAAATCCCATAGGACTTCTGACGAGCACAGACACACGTCAGAAGTCCCCCCTGAGGGGACAAATAAACAAGCAGAGCCTTAATTAGTAAAGGTTTGGGTTGAGAATGTATAAAAAAAACATTAGATATGAATTTACCCCTGTAAACAAAAATATTCAATTAATTAAGAACTAATGCGTAATTACAAGGCATGTGACCCAACTTCCCAGAAGACATAACACACACTCGTGTAGAAGATCATGCCTTGATCAGATGTTATATACCTATCTGTTCACATCCATCTTATTTTAGTGCCTTTTTGGGCTTCATTTCAGTAATAATAAACCTCGGTCATGCCTCCAAAAAAAGTCAACAGTGACAGTAGACTTTAGTGAAAAGGAACTGGCCAACAATTGAATTGAAAAGGGAAAACCATGCAGAGTGATATGACTCTGATTTTGCCACCAAGTGCATCATCAGGCATTGACTATATTGATTTTAACAAATGAACAGTTGAAAGAAGCTAATGTGTCAAAAGGAGTGAATAATATAACAAAGCAAAAGACTCATATATAGAGGGAATAATTATTATATTTGTATATGGTACATACATGAGAAACAGTTGGAAGGTTCTAGTGCCAATGTGGTATTCATTTGCAAGAAGGCACTGAAGATTTGCAGAAGAAAACACTTCATTCACATTTTCAATGTATTCCTTATGTGTGTATACAGGGTGTCCCAAAAAAACGATACCCAACTTTGAATGGCTGTAACTCGAAAAGTAATAGAGTTAAAAATTTTTGAAAGGTCAGAATTCGTTCCCTACCTTTTTCTGCATCTCTCCACCAAAAATCAGACAGATTGATGTAGCCATAAGCGTTTGATAGAACTTTCAGTGACATGTGCTAAAATCGTGCTTGTGCAAAGTTTTAGCAATATCATTTTGCATAATAATTACATTGTCTTGACATGTTTTCTTTTCACTGTTTTATTTTTTAGCGCATTTTCTCATTTATGAAAAAATGCGCTATTGTGCTTGCCATGTCCGTCTGTCCGTCTATCCTTCTGCCCGTCTGTCTGTCCGTCCGTGACTTCATGTTTTCATCGAGGAGAAAATGCGCTTTCTGTCACTCACTGCAGTGAGTACTGAGTTACATTTTTTGTATCTTTGGTGAGACAAAAACATGGCATGGCAATCTTTGGTGAGAGACAATCTTTGGTTTTGAAATTCTCTCTCACCAAAGATTGCCATGATTGTCTCACCAAATATTGCCATGGTTGTGTCTGACCAAAGATTGCCTCTCACCAAAGAATAAAGATTGTCATGATTGCCTTGTGGGAAAAAGTTGGAAATGGAAATCTTTCATTTAAAAAATTAAATTTAAATTCAGAGCCATTATGTCCTTAAATTTGATCATTTTTACTAGTTTGTAGTGGAATAGCCCCAACCCAAATAGGTACAACACAACGAAATACCTAATCAATGGCTTAGTGGCCGGTGGGGCAGGATAGATACGAGACGAGATTTACAATTCTACAAGAAAGACAAAAGATATACGGCGATTATAATATGGTACTTCGTCTGGTTGAGAACGTTGAAATTTGAAGAAATTTAATTAAACGGATCATTCATTCACTCATTGGAAATGGAATGATGGTATTACCGTATTAGTATGTAGCTACGGTAGAAGCAAACTCAAGTAGCTAGGAAGTAGGCTAGCTAGTAGAGTATTTTTCGTAAAACACTTGCAAATACACGAGAATTCACCAATCGCGTGTTTGGTCTTACCTCGAAAAGAATGATCCATGATGCTGATTTAAATATTTTCAGGTTAATCCATCTTGACCAAGTGGAGTTCTGCTTACATACACAAGAACCACTACCAAACAACCTCGATCCGTAGCGGCAGAAATGCAACTGAATCTCTGAGGTAATATCTACGAGTAAATGTGTATTAGGCAACACTTTCATAAAAGAATTTATCTCCTACAAAATTGACTTCCTAATTTGCGTATTTTTATTCATCTTTGATCATATATATTAGTAATATTTGTAGCAAATGATTTGAAGGATGATATGCTACCTGACTTCTTTCAAATATTTTAATACAATCAAATTAAGCTAGAGTCGCAGTAATTTACGGATCTTTAACACACTTTCGACAATTATGGGATAAATTTTTAGAATGAATTCACGAATCTTCATAACAGATTTACCAAGCTTAAGTTTTTCGAATCAAAAATAATCTTGCCAAATTTAAAACGAAGTTATATGATCTCGATACGCTCCAACGCGCGTTAACCACATCGGCACTTTACGGTAGGCCTCGAATTTGTCCTGGATTTTGAGCGGTGTCAAAATTTTTTAGTTCGTTAAAATTTTAATTAGTGCGCATTTAGCATTTTTAATGTTTCTTTGAGCATTCTGATGATGCCCGTGGCTACGTACAGCAACTAATGGATTATTTCAAGTTCATTCTGATGGATTTATTATTGGCAGATTTACGTGCAGGTAATCTGCAGATAAATGTGTTTTCATTTTTCTCGTTTGGGTTCGCTCTCGAGTCCACCGATGAGTGCGGAGAATTATCAACAACATAATGAATGTTCAAATGTTTTATTGAAGCCTTTAGTAAAGATAAACGGCGCAACTAACTGCCGAAATCAATTGAAATTATACGAATTTATTCTCGGTCTATGAATAAAGGAATTTCAATATAATTTATTCCATATACTACGAGCAAAAGGTTCACATCACGGGAGAGTTTATCTTTTCCTGCGTACAGCTAGTGCGCCATCAACAAAATGAACAATAGCAGCACAGATCAGAAGAATCCCAAGCACCACGTTCGATGCATAGTAGTTGTCTTTGCTGTTCGAATACTCCGCGAGCATGTAGCATCCCGCAGCTGTCATATACATCGAAAGAACTCCACTGAGTATCGCCTCCTCAAACGTACTTTTGATCGAAATGAAACACAATTTGCAGATCACGAAAACAGGAGTCACCGTAAGTGCAGTCATGATACAGCCTTCATGAATCATCTTTATACCCTGCGCTTCACTTGTCACAGTTAGTATCAAAGCTATTAGAGCCAACGATATTTCCACCAACTTGAAAATGCCGCTAACGGAACCCAGGTACGAAACGTTCACCCTTCGCTTGAAAGTTTGAGGATGCCAAGTTCCTGCAGCTGTCGGGTCGTGGGGTTGGTCGTGCTCGCTACTCTCTCGATTCTCAGACGTCGACTTTACTGAAGGCTCCTCCTCCTCTGCTGGACACCAAGGAGATGGGTAATTCACTGGCTTGCTGTTCTCATACGTACTCTGGACATGATTCTTCGCTTGAAGTTCAATTTGCAGGTCAACACACTCGCTTCTTTAAATAAAGTTACGGTTTTCCTGGCCAGTCGAGTCGTATATGGTCTCTTGCAGCTCAGTTTATTGTTGGATCTAATTACTCTCATGAAGAGGCAACTAAACGCGTTGTCGTTGATCCGGTTTACCTATGTAATCTTGGACAAAAAATAAGATTGTGTCTTCACGAGATGAGTTGCTATCTTCAAAGTAATTCATTTTGGAGGCTTCAGAGAATTATTGGTCCAGAGTTTTGTGGCGAACCCGAAAATCGAAAGGCGTTTTTCACGCCAGTTGAAAATTCTAGTTACGTATCAATCTTTGTATCAATGATACTAAATTTTTTTATCGCCGTAGGCTGACTAAACTTCAAATAGGACTAAATGTCACTTAATATATGTATTTAAAAGCAATAATAATTTTCATAAAGTCGATTACGACTAGCTTCTACTTGCTTTTTTTCAACTCCGGTAAAGTTTAACATTGAAGAAGGTGGTTGGTTTTCTCTACTAGTTGTTCAGAAGCTACAGCAGCCTTCCCTCTTCTGTAAATAATTAATCGGCACGTGTTATGTTGGGGAGTAAAGACTGTAAAGCTCAGATAGTTTATTGTGGTTGAAGAACGTAGACGCCCACCGGCCAAGACCTGTATCATTGATGGCCGTTAGAATCGACATTACATGAACACAATGGAATAACAATATCGAAATGATACAGAAAACTCAATTAATATTTAGCTATGACAGTTACACTGAAATGTTTCATCATATTATAGGAATTGAATTCTAGTGAAAACTTAGCTTCTTACCCCTTAGCTGATGTTAATTAACCCACACGACGTCGTTCAGAAATTGACTCTAATATAAGTCACTTATAATATACACGCGCTTGGCAAATGGTTCCAGACTGGAGTTCTTAACAAAATTCACAATATTTGCTGGTACGATTTTATATATAAAAATAATTTCTCAAAATCGTCGATGAATTCAACAGGCCTCGTGACACCCTGCAACAACGTCAAATTCCATACTAAGAGCCAAAAAGGCCCCTGCAAAAACGCGGGAGTTATCCGAGAGGCCGGTGTAGTCTATAAATTTTACTTCAAAGTAGGTTGTAGACTTCTTCATGTGTCCATCAGTTTAACAATTAATAATTATATGTACTAGTTAGTCCTACGATAATAAATTCTTAGTTGCCTGATGGCACTGATGGGTGCTAGTGGCCCTGATGGGTGCTGGTGGCCCTGATGGGTGCTTTCCAATTAGCGTCGACTTCTGAGTCGCAGTTTCGCGATATTTTTGCGTCTTCTTTTGAATCGCTCAACTGCGAGATTCTAGCGTACTGAGCTGTGTTGGTACTGTACACCGTACAGTCTACAGTACCGACTGTTGTGTCTACAGTGTTGGCTCATTAGACTAGTGTTGGCTGTACAGTGTTGGTTCCTTAGACTAGTGTTGGCTGTACAGTGTTGGTTCCTTAGACTAGTGTTGGCTGTACAGTGTTGGCTCATTAGACTAGTGTTGGCTGTACAGTGTTGGTCCAGACTAGTGTTGGCTGCACAGTGTTGGCACATTAGACTAGTGTTGGCTGTGCAGTGTTGGCTGTACAGTGTTGGCTGTACAGTGTTGGCTGTAGTGTTGGCTGTACAGTGTTGGCTCATTAGACTAGTGTTGGCTGTACAGTGTTGGTTCTTCAGTTATAGTGAAGACTCAAGAGTTTGCTTCTCGCTGGCACTGCTGCATGCTGGGCGTCGCTTGTTCTCGATTGAGTTGCAGGCTTATGATTGGCACCTCATCAGATGTTTGATTTGAATGGTGATTACCATACGTGGTGATGAATCTAGGTGAGGAATAGCTCAGGATCTTGATGCCGGTGATAAGTGTATATCGATAAATCTATGTGAGCATCAGCTGAAGTAAATTTGTTGATGGTTGCAGGAGTGTTCCAGCTGCTCATCGTGGCGGGGGGCAACGACGAAGATATACTGACTCTCCTGGACATCCTCAACTCGAGGGCCCTCGACAGCTGCTATGCTGACGGTGCTGCCTCTGGTGGAGTGTGGAGTGTCCCCTGGTGCTGATAACGAAGGAGCTAGCGGTGGTGCCATCTCCCCTGATGCTGACGCTCCTGGGGCAGAAGCCTGCAGAAGAAACAAATCCATGACCCACGATGAGCTCATCCAGCTTAAAGTTGACGTTCTCAGGGTGCGTGGGGTTACAGTTAATATTGCATAATTGTCATCAATTATCGCTTAAAATTAATTTTATGTTAGTGTCATGTAACTACATTAAAGCCATTATGGAAAACACATGTTTAATGTATTCCAAAGCATCTGCATAGGAACTTGAGTTGATCTAATCAATTGAATCATTTCAATAGATTATCTCAGGTGGTTTCAGTCGCTGGTGACGTGCCTACGGGACTCTCAGCCGCACCGTCTTCAGGAAGGTTGGGGGCTTGGTGCGGGGGCTGAGTGTCGTCGTGGGCATGCGGGACGCTTTCAAGGACCTCCCACCGCCCCCCTTTACGTCCACGCCCCCCCAACTCCTGCTCGCCCTCATAGGGGGCGTCTTCTCGTGTCTCACCACCGCCATGCGATACGAGCCCGCCAACGCAAAGTTCTTCCATGCGCCGAGGTCGGACTTTTCTTACTCTCAAATATTTTGATTAATAATGAATATGAATTATTTTCTTCTATACAATGTTTGTTTTGTTACTAAAATCTGCAGAATTTTTTGCGACCAAAGTCAGTGAAATACAATGTTGACAAGCTTTACTTGTTTCATGGCGAGCTCCGTGATTCCTGATGAGATCTATGGTATGACTCGATCAGCTAATATTGTATAGTGTATATATACACTACACTTCGTATTCCAAGAACGTTTTCTGTTTATTTCAGATCTGCAACGGTAGTTTGTCTGAGACGCTGAGGCAGCTTGACTGCTTCAACAACGCGTGTACGCGCCTTCAGGGCAGTGACGCCCCCCAAGTGACGCCCCCACTGGGCTGCCCTCCGCAGTAAACCCTCCGGCAGCAGAGCTGAGTCCCCAAGCAGAGGGACCTCCTCCCCCCACAAGTCCTCTTCCCCTCGCAAGTCCTCGTCTAACGTCCCCGCGCACTCGCTGCTCTCCAGCCTGACGGCGTCCTTTTAGGCGACGTCCTTAGCACACCCCGTCCTCTCCTGGCACAGCGCTGACGATGCAACTACCTCGTCAGCTGCTGATGGTCACATCACGACCTCGTCAGCTGCTGATGGTCACATCACGACCCCGTCAGCTGCTGATGGTCACATCACGACCCCGTCAGCTGCTGATGGTCACATCACGACCCCGTCAGCTGCTGATGGTCACATCACGACCCCGGCAGCTGCTGATGGTCACATCACGACCCCGTCAGCTGCTGATGGTCACATCACGACCCCGGCAGCTGCTGATGGCCACGTCTTGGCTGTGGATGGCCACGTCACGGCCGTGGATGACCATGTCG